TGCGGGTTTAGGGCATGAGGCTGGGACCTTGTGGTTGTGTGCTGGGGAAGGGGACAGGCACCCGTTAGCTGCCAGCTCCCAGTGATAATTCTCTTGGCAACCATTCATTTTGCTAGGGGGTGGGAACCACAACTGCCACTCCCTGTAACATCATTGCTAGAGGGCGGAGCCACAGAAACTACAGCCAAAGCCCCATCTGATGCTCACAGCTGCTGCTGTGATTTTGACTCATGCAGACATGGCCACGGCCTGTTAATGCTTCCACAGGTATAAGTAATACAGAAAAGCTTCAAATGTACAGGTGCTCAGAAAAATGAAAAGTTTTTGGTGACTAATCTTGGAGACTGACTAAATACTTATTACTATCCCTACAAAAAGACTAACAATTTAACGACAGGGCCCAGGTGTTAAATCTGTTTTGCCAAGTTAACAGGAAATGCTCTCTCTTCTCACTTTGTTAGGCCTCTTGAAAGTCTGAGCCTGCATGAAATACAAGAGGAAAGAAACAAGTTACTAGGCCAGCTATTAGAGGCCAGAGTTTTTCTACCTGACAGTGGAGGGTGGAAACCTCCAGTAAGGTCAGAGGCCATCAAAATCTCTCACATAAAGTTTTGTGAACCCAACTAGCAGGGTCAATAACACTACCTGGATAATTGTGTCGCCACTTCCAGTTAGGGAAGACCCATCGTGGGAAGAGACTTTGAGCTGTGGACAAATTCCACAGCCAGCTTAGGCAAGATTGCCATAGGATGTCTCAGGGGGCTAAGGGGTCATAGGCAATCCCAAATAATACTCTGTGATAGAGCTAGGGAACATTAGGGATGCTCATTCTCCCTCAGCTACCAATATCTCCCTCTGATTAAGAGGATAAAAGGTTTTTAGGTTTTTCTCCCTGAAGATAATAGGTAATACAATCCTCATTCACTGCACCTCAAAAGAAACTCCTTTGGGTGAATACTCAACTGGCAAAAAGCTTACTCTAGATTTTATTTTTTCAATAAAAGGGCTGTCTGTGAAAGGGTGAGGACTACGCCCTCCACCTTGCCCCAGGGTAAAGGCTATGCCCTCCATCTTACCTTGGCCATGTGTTCAGCAAGGCTTCTTCCCGGAAGCCAAGCCGCTGCTGGCCACGCCCAGGATTTCTCTGGACTGGCCAATGATAGTCAAGGGAAGTGCATGCCATCACTATGACCACATCCTGTGTAATGAGACACCAACTCGCGCCTGGCCAATCGGCAGGGCCCACAGTCCTTTCTCCTCCCCTTACCCCAACCCCCTATAAAACCTCTCTCCACACAGAGTTTTCCCTCTCTCTGCCACTGCTTCTGTGCCAGTAAGGGGGGGGGCCAGGGGAGCCAAACCTAGGTTTGAAATAAATGACTCTTTGCTTTTGCATCAGACTCGCTGGCTCCCTGGTGGGCCCTTGGGAATCTTGAAATCTGGGCACAACATCTGCCTTTAAAGTGCTAATACCTGCTCCCCAAGAACCCTCATCTGAGCCATCTCTTGGAATGCAGATTTCTGGAAGGAGCTATCTAAGCCAATCAATTTAACTTAATTCACCTGTGACTTGCTACACCAGTGAGTTTTGTTACATGATATGTTTCTAGAAGTTAAGGAATGTGTTTGCCAATCTAGGAAATGCTAATTGCTTACTTTTAGTTTTTCTCCCTACCTGAGAACTCCAGAATTTGGCAGTTCTTAATGAATGAATCCTGGCAATATGTTTCTTTGCATAAATTCAATAAGAACAGTCTTCACTTGTGGTATATTAAGACTTTAACTAAAATGCTATGTCTGAGATAGATATGCCTGGACTCTGGATGTCAGCAGAAAGTTTAAGGGATTGAGATTGACTTCCAAAGCCCCCACAGCAGAAATGGTCCATTACCTTCCTTGGTCACGTGATTTCCTGGTAAGAAACAAAGGTTGCTTCCCTGAAAGATGGCAAGAAAGGAACTTCAAGACATTTTTGGATCCTCAAGGACTTGAGGAATTTACACAGACCTACAGATATCACAGACAAAACCTGATGGTAACTGTAGTGTGGCTTCTTTGTCCTGAGGAACTCATTAAAGGTCAATCTAAAGATTCCTTGTGAAAAATCCCAGCAAAGCAGACTTGAAAGAGCACGTGTGATTGATTTGATCAATTACTATTCTTATTGTCACTTCTGCTCCAGTCTGGTTAGTCTTCAGCAAAGGGAAATGCAGTCTTCAGTTTTCTGTGAAAAGGGAAAGTGCACACACAAACCAAAGGGGAGCTGACATATAGAGAGAAGTCCCCTCCCCTAGTCCATGATATGGGAAGCTGCCTATTGTCTTCTCTAGCAGAAACGGTGGAAAAAGGAGCCCGGGAGGCTGGTGACCCTTGAAGCCCTGGCAAAGGTCAGGGCTATGCACCCACTGTTTAGTCAAGACAATGGTAGCTGAAGCAACTTCCCCACCAGATAGTCATGTAAATCCTTACTGATAAGATTGTCTGTTACTGGAACTTGCCTGCCTAAGGGCTTTGGGTGTATCCCAAACTCAATAAAATGATGGCAAGGCGTGAGCACAAGCGGAGTCCATCCTCTTGGGATGGGCTCTCGCCTGGCCCCCCAATTTCCAAATTATCTCGTCTCTTTTTATTTGTGTGCAGCCCCTCTTCCAGATCCTGAACCCTGAACCACGAAAGCTGTGAGGGAACATACACATCTACACACGATTGGACCGTTCTCGTGTAAATGAGAACTCCAAATCCTCACAATTTGATTGGTCCAAAAAGCACTGTCCTGATTAGCCCAAACAGAGTTGCTCTAATTGGTTGGTGAAGATGCTAATGAGGATATAGCTGCACAGCTCCAACTGGATAGGTAAAGTCTCAATCCTATTGGTTGAAATAGGATTCCAGGAACTCCTTTATAAGAGTTGGCTCAGCTGACAGGAACATAATGCAGATCAATAGCTTAGTGCCAGAGGCAAGTAGTGTAGTACAGGCTTCTCTCTTAAGTGTGGCTTGCATGAAAGGCCCCTTTTAGCAACAGCTGCCAGTCTGTTTATAAATTTGAGCCCAGTTAGCCATTAGAGCCCTTTTCAACAGGTACATTTATTTTCCGGATCAACAAAACCTTCCTTAAATCTTCAAGAGGGGATGGTAGAAACAGCCTCATATAAATTGTGAGGATTAAGTGACTCACTATACATGTTACAGAAGAGCAAAGAAATACCAAGCACACTTCCTGGAGAAAGGGAAGAACCCATTTATTAGCACTAGTGGATTCCGGGAATAATTTCCAAATCAGAGTGAAGTAACACGCAGAGGCTTCACTTTTTATAACCTTCTGGGGTCGTCTTGCAGATGTGGTTCTGCCCCCTTTTGTGGCTTACAGGAAGGCCCCCAGGTGTCGATGATCCTCATACACAGGGTGCTTACAACAGTACCTGGCACAAGGTATGCCCTTAAATGTTAACTGTTCTCCCCAGCAATGTAGCTGGAACACTATGGTTTCTGGGGTCAGGCAGGTTTGGATGGCCATGTGTGGACCTAGGTACAGATTGGTCATAACAATATAAAAACACTTGGAAGCACAAGTCTGGCATGTTTTAGTTAGATCTGATTAGGTAAGCAGGCAGCACAAATGCAACTTGTACATCTTAGAACACTGTGTACTTTCCTCATTATTTTCAGAAAGACACACTAAAAAATACTTTTTATGGCAACAATTTTTAAGAATAGTGATACGTTGTGTACAGGGTAACACATAAAACAGGGAGGATATGGCTGCATGACCAAATCCTGGAACTTGCAGAGAATGGCCATTTGCACAACTGAGAAGTTATTGAGTGATGGGGAAAATCAAGCTTTGTATTTCTTTTCCCTTCACAAACTGGTATAAAAATATTAAAAGTAAAAATATTACTGCAAATATATTTAGCAGGTGTTGAGATCAGCCAAGAAACTGGGAACCCTCCCACTGCAGGTGAGAGAATTTTGTTTCCATACTGTCCTGCTGGCTAATCCAATGCTTTAAGGGAGGAAAGCACCAAGTGCAAAGGAAAAAAGGAAAGGAGAATTAGGCAGCTTGAGGCTACCTATTCTTAAATTCATGTTTAAGGGAATTGTCTTCTTAACTTAAGGCATGCATGCAGTTTGGGGCTATTTTATTTCAAGACTTGGGGCTCAAGCACAGTAACCTGTGAAACCAAGCCTGATGCAAGGTCAGGGTGCTATTTTAAAAGCAGTTGCTGAATATGAAGGAAGGTAACATCTTAGAGAGATTCCACTGTCAAAGTTAGGCAAACTCAGGTGGACTAGGTGCAAAATCAATCAGCTGGAGATGAGTTAAGACCTAACAAGAGAGAAGGATTAAAGGAATTTAAAAGGGAAAACTTGGAGCAATTTTTTTTTCTCCTTGAGAGCAGGCAATTTCAGTGGCTGTTCATGGGAGTCCATTGTCACTGAAGAATGTAATAAAGTCTAGATGCTATTTCTCTACTCAAATGGTTCCCCAGGCCGAATGCAATTTGCACTTCCAATGGGTTTGCCCACTTGGCAACTCCAAAGTACATGAGGAGAGTACTGTAAGAGGTGGACCAAGGTCCATTTCTCTGGCTCATAGCTTAGCTACAGTCTAGGTGATGGGGTGTGGAGATTGGCTCACATATAAGTCCAGCACTTCCTCTGCCACATGCACATATTCATCATCTGGAAATGGCATAGTCGCAGGTGTGCTGGGAAGTCTTCTGAACTATGTGGGGCCGGGAGTAGTGGGGGATAGGCTGGATGTACTGAGAACTGCACACCACCAGCCCAGACTCAGTAACCCTGAAGGGTGGATCCCAGTGGTCCCCACCTTTGTCCATCAGAGTCTATGTGGCCAGTCAGCAAGGCTAGAAAAGTGAGGTACAGAATGAATTGTTCTTAGGAATCTCTAATGTGTAGGGAGTAACTGGGCTGGGGGTAGGGTAAAGTCCCTCTCAATAATTGCTGAAATCTTGTCTAACACTTTGCAAATCAGTTGGTAGAGAAGGTAACTGAGGAACTCTACCTCAAAGTTCTTGAAAATGCATTTCTAGGGATAAGCCAAAAAGTGATGCTTGGGAAGGTCAGACTGCCCAGGCAGAGAGCATACTACTTAGGATTCAAAAAGTACAGAAGAGCAGTGCAATATTCTAGTTGTAACAAATTCTAATGCAGGGGCCACTGAGCACTGTTCAGCTGAAGGAAAGAGAGTGGGTCGGAGCCTTTTGAGAATTGGCTGTGGGGCTCCAACTTCTCATGTAGGTTGCACATCAGGAAATTACAAGTCACAGAAGTGGAGGTAAACTAAAATACCACCAGGTGGTTGATATTTGTCCCACCTGAGGTTAAGCATGCCCTGCCTGCTGTGTGTAGAGTAACTGCAGTACAAACAATTGGAGAATGTTTGCAAAGACTAAGCCCATACTTTGGGTATCAGCCCAGGGTCAGAGTCAAACTGAGGCCCAGAGGAACTGGGTAACACAAGAATCTTTATTAATCTCTGAAACCCCAGGCATAACTTCTAAGTTCTAAGTTCTGAAAGCTGAATTTGGGTGCAATATCCAGAATCATGGACTGTGTGTGAGGTTAGATCACTATACTCCCCAAGAACAAATGGGCTGATAATAAGTGGCGTGATGTTACCAGTCAGGGGTTGCTAAATCAAAAGAGGGACACACCACTCAAATGAACTGTCCAGGAAAGAAAAGACAGAAAGACAGTTAGTGGACACACAGACCAGGGAGATCAGACAAAAGATGGTTTGAAGCACAGTTTAAGTAAGTCCTGGGCTGATGCATGAGTAGTAGTAAATATACTTTCTTTACTCTAGGTGTCTCTTATATAAGAGAATCAAATAGAGGGAAATGCTAGCAGACCATTTTCTTACCTTTTTGTTCCTTTGCTTTTTAAAAATTTTTTTTAAATATATTTTATTGATTTTTCACAGAGAGGAAGGGAAGAGGGATAGAGAGTTAGAAACATCGATGAGAGAGAAACATCAATCAGCTGCCTCCTGCACATCTCCTACTGGGGATGTGCCCACAACCCAGGTACATGCCCTTGACCAGAATTGAACCTGGGACCTTTCAGTCCACAGGCCGATGCTCTATCCACTGAGCCAAACCGGTTTTGGCCCTTTGCTTTATAAAATTAACTTACAATTCTATAATTTCTTTTAATAATGAAAATGTAAATTTGATCAACAAATTTCTATGTTGTTAATGAAGCTCCATTTTGCTTCTGATACTTGGTAATTCAGACTAATTACACAGCACTGCTATTCCGTTGAGGCAGTTCTTGAACCATGAGGAGTGTTTGACATTCTAAAACTATCAAAACCCACAATACTGTAAAGCAGTAGTTCTCAACCTACTGGCCTTTTAAATACAGTTCCTCGTGTTGTGACCCAACCATAAAATTATTTTTGTTGCTACTTCATAACTGTAGTGTTGCTACTGTTATGAATCGTAATGTAAATATCTGATATGCAGGATGGTCTTAGGCGACCCCTGTGAAAGGGTCGTTGGACCGCCAAAGGGGTCGTGACCCACAGGTTGACAACCGCTCCTGTAAAGCTTGACTCTCAGTAAATAAAATGACTATCTTAATATAAACTTTCATGATTATTTTCTAGAATGGATTCTCTCAAATTCAATTATTCATATACTCAGGCTCAAAGCCCTTCCTCATAAACTGCAATCATATCACTTTTCTCCAAAATGATGTTTCTGATGCTGAATGAGGTTTGCAGTCTGGTTGAAGGCTTTCCCACATTTATTACATTTGTAGGGTTTCTCTCCTGTGTGAATCCTCTGATGTTGAGTAAGGTGTGTGCTTCGGATAAAGGCTTTCCCACAGATTTTACATTTGTAAGGTTTTTCCCTAGTATGAATTCTTCTATGTTGAGTAAGGGCTGAATGGTCACTGAAGGCTTTCTCACATATATTACATGTATAAGGCTTTTCCCCAGTATGAATTCTCTGATGTTGAGCTAGGGCTGATTGGTCCCTAAAGGCTTTCTCACACAAACCACATCTGTAAGGTTTTTCTCCAGTATGAATTTTCCGATGTCGAGCAAAGGATGAATTATCTCTGAAAGCTTTCCCACACTCATTACACTTATAAGGTTTCTCTCCAGTATGAATTCTCTGATGTTCGGTAAGGGAAGAGTTCACCCTGAAGGCCTTTCCACATTCATTACATTCAAAGGGCTTCTCTCCAGTGTGAATTCTCTGATGCTGAAGAAAACTTGTACTCTGGTTGAAGGCTTTCCCACATTCATTACATTTATAGGGTTTCTCTCCACTATGAATATTCTGATGTTTGGTAAGATGTGCCCTGCACACAAAGGCTTTGTCACATATATTACATTTAAAAGGTTTCTCTCCTGTATGTATTCTATGATGGTGGGCTAGGTGTATATTTCGGATAAAAGCTTTTCCACATAAGTTGCATTCAAAAGGTTTCTCTCCAGTGTGAATTTTCTGATGATAAGTAAGTGAGGAGCTCACTGAGAAGGCCTTGCCACATTCCTTACATTCATATGGTTTCTCACCAGTGTGAATTCTTTGGTGATGGATAAGGTGTGTACTCTGGTGAAAGGCTTTCCCACATTCTCTACATTTGTACCGTTTCTCTCTAATAAGAGGTTTTGGATTTGAATTAAGTTTTTCAGTATGAATTTTCTGATGTTTATTAAGAGTTGAACTCTTAGTGAAAACTTTTCCACACTCACTACATTCAAAGGCATTTTTGCTAGATTGAAATACCTGACTTTGAATAAAAGATGATCTCATGATGCAGCGATTCCCAGATCTCTCACATTCCTGGTCACTACCCACAGATGAGATTTTCTGGTGAGTGAGTACCATTTTCTGCAATTTTATCTCCTGGACTCCATGCTGCCATTCCAGTAGGCTATCATATTTCCAGTGACTATTGCTAGTGAATCTTTCCTTTATCATCCACTGATCCAATTCTTCTTCAGGAATATCTGCCTTGAGAGTAGATTTCTTATTCACAGGGAGAGTCATCCAGTCTGAAAGACATCAAAAATAAAAATGTCTGTTTTATCCTAGTGAAACGTCTAGTTGGGGTAAGATGATGAGCCTGTTTACAATGCTAATAAAAAGGTTGCAGTTTTGAAGATTTCCTGAAGAAAGGAAAGAGGAGGAGAGGTGAACAGAGGACAAAGCAGAAAGGGGTTGATCTAATGTATAATGCATTGAGCAGGAGACCTTGGGAGCTTGACTTCAGAAGTCACAGGCCTGGGTGGGGACCTTGAGTATAAGTTATTTTATTTGTGATTACAGAGAAGTTACCAGACTTTCTGAGCCACAGAAAAACCTGTACAGACCAAACTATGCTAACAGATAAGAATAAATTACCTTGTTTATTTTAGTGATATGGTCTTGAATTAATACAGATGTAAACTTAAGAAACCATTCAAACTAAGCAGAAAAAATTCAACTCCAGAGTAACTACTAAAATCGATATTTTACTGTTTTATACACTCATTTTAGCATTCAGATGGATAATAAAAAGGCTATGATTAAGGCTGTGTGAAGGACCTCCTACTATTGGTGAGGAAGCAATGTCTTCAAATTTATATGAACGATGTAACATCTATATGAAAACCAGGAACAAACCTGAAAATCTGCCAGAATATACCCACTACATCTCTAACGGCAAGGCCCTGAATCCAGGGAAGAGGGAATACTAGTCACTAGAATGAAAATCTGCTACTGGGATAGGAGCCATGGTCCCATGAATTATCTGACAAAGTAATTCCTCTCTCCAAATACAAACTTCCCAATTATACTGTCTCACTTACTTTCATTCATGGGTTCCTTTGTATTTACAGAGTTCTGAATGGAATATTAGTTTTGCATATGTTTTGGTGAATATCTGTCTTTCATGTTAAGTTTATTTAAAACGCTGTGATAAGATATGCAATAATAAGGACTAGCTACTAAACACACATGATGCAGATTACTGGGAAGTGCTATCAAGAACAAGCCTCCCTCATTACTTTTTTTCCCCTAATTAATCCAGAAAATCTACAAAGAGCTATAATAAAAATAAATAAATAAATAAATAAATAAATTCTTTGAAACATATCTGAAAAAGAAAGTTAAATAGATGCACTTTATGGCTAAATATCTGGGTGAGCTTAGAATAATGTATCCTTGCTCAAAACAAAGAATGGTCAAAGTTAAACACCAACATTGCCAAATTTCAAAATCTTAAGGACTGACTTGCACCTCCGGATCTGATAGAGTAACCTGGGACAGACAAATATTCCTTAGAAAACTACTGGAAAATCTGAAGTGAAAATAAAAAATTATGTCTAAAGGCATATGTCACTTGAGGCCAACTTGATAGTCTAATTTTGTGGAGAGAAGGGAAATACAGAGATGTGATCCCAAAACTTAGTGCAGTGGTTCTCAACCTGTGGGTCGTGACCCCTTTGGTGGTCAAACGACCTTTCACAGAGGTCGCCTAAGGCCATCCTGCATATCAGATATTTACATTACGATTCATAACAGTAGCAATATTACAGTTAAGAAGGAGCAACGAAAATAATTTTATGGTTGGGTCACAACATGAGGAACTGTATTTAAAGGGCCAGAAGGTTGGGAACTACTGACTTAGTGGTTTTTATCTCACAGAATGTGCTGAATTCTTATGCTTCTCAGGGCAAGAGACTAAAGTTAAACAGAGATTAAGAATTTCCTATAGAGAAACCAAGATGGCGGCATAGGTAAACAACGGAGATTGCTGCCTCGCACAACCACTTCAAAGATACAACTAAAAGAGAGAATGGACATCATCCAGAACCACAGGAAAGCTGCCTGAGTGGAAATTCTACAACTAGAAGGAAAGAGGAAAGCATACTGAGACTCAGAGGAGGTGCAGTGTGAAAGTAAAATACAAAGGTGCGGAGGTGCATGTGGAGAGGGCTGGTGGCTGAGGACACGGTTGTCTTTTTCAAATGGGAGGGAATCTCAAGCTCTGAGCTCCAGTTCCGGGCGAGTCTCTGGGGACCCAGACTCATACGGGAGAAACAGGACTATCTGGCATCAGTCAGAACTCGAGGGCAGCTTTCTTTCAGAGGTGCTCGCAGCATTGCCTGGACACTGAAAAGCAGGGCCTCTGAGGGCAGGACTGAGAGCAGCCATAACTGCTCACTCCACCCTGTTGATCCCCTGGGACCCTGCCACCCCCCAAGCCGTGCAGGGAGACTTTTGCATGTGAAAGGCCCAGCCCTTTGCAATCTGAAAGTTACTTAACAAACTACAGCTGGCCCAAGGCCCCAAGGCAGCTGCATTCCTTCACAGCTGGCTTCTGCTGGGTAGCCTCAGGCAGAGGCTAGATTAGCACCTCCTTAGAGATCCATTCTCCCACACAGAAACAGCTGATTCTCACAGCCAATTGGCCTGGAGGTCAATCCTTCCCAGTGTTACGTACAACAATCAAGGCTTAATTAGAACAAGACTGTGCACAAAGCCCACAAGGGGTTGCACCAAGAGTGTCTACCTCAGGTAATTGGGACACTTTGCACAGAAAGGTACTCTATCGACACAGCGAAGCATAAAAAATGCCAAGACAAAGAAACAGGACACAAATGACAGAATTGGAGGAAAGCAAACTGCTGGATATAGAGTTCAAAACCACACTTTTAAGGTCTTCAAAGAACTGTCTAGAAGCCTCCGATAAACTTAATAATGT